TAAACCGATCTTGAAGTCCAATGAATGCCTTTTAACCCTGTGCATGCCCTGTCAGGAGGGAAAAGACTTTGGCTGTCTGACTGGCATCAAGAAGGACGCATGCAAGAACTTTGGTGTGACAATTAGTAGGGGAGGGTTAAGAAATAAATGTGACTGAAATGCAAATTTCAAAATGCAGATAACTTAAACCCAGAACTTACATCACATTTAGCTTTGCATGGTGTTTTTTATTATTTTTCTTTCTTGATGGCTCTTTCTGTATAATTATTATTCTGTATGCTTTGGAAAATGTCTTTGTACATTTAGAACCAGACTATTTCTCATTTTTATTTTCCTGCATTTCTACCTTCTTATTCCAAATTCACCATCTGACTGCTTTATGGTAGAGATTTGTGTGCAGCTTAAATCAGTTGCTAAACATCAAAGAGTCCTGTGAATTTAATAAAGAGAGGGGGGTAACTTCAATCATCATTGTAATTTTCAAATCTCTAAGAGTAAACTCTCTGCATAAATAGAATAAGAATGTGATTTCTATGCATAGTTTTCATCAGGTGTGGGATGACTTGTTTGGCCCAAGGAAGAAATGAAAGTACTTTGAAAGTGCGTGCAGCTGTTGAAACGTTTCCAAATGTGTTGGCCATTTGCCTGCTTGTTCTCAGTCCTTGCTCCCACCTTTTCTGTGTTTTGCTACGTATTTGGAGGGTGGCAGCTCGGATTCTGCGAACAGTGTTTTTAAACTCTAACCAGCTGACACTAATTAGGTTCTACCAATGGAGGCACTGGTGGAGATGGAAAGGTAGGAGAGGAGAAGGAGGATGCTCTTCTTGCTTCTAGCTTTTGTTGGCTTTCTTCTTTAATAAGTAGTGAGCAGCTACTGAATCAGAGTGGAGTCCTGGTGTAGCACTGTAATAGAAGCAATGGGCTGCTAACTAAAAGGTGAGTGGTTCAAACCCACCATTCATTCCTCAGAAACCTTATACAGAATTGTTATGAATTGTAACTGACTCAATGGCACTTAAAACAAGAAAAACAATTCCACCACTTGTCTGTCAGTGTGTCATGCTGTGGTGGCTTGTGACTTTCTGTGATGCTGGAAGCTATGCCATTAGTATTTTAAATACCAGAGGGGTCACCCATGGTGGACATGTTTCAGCAGAGCATCCAGACTGAGATTAGGAAGAAGGAGAGGCAGACTTCTGAGTGATTATACACTAAAAACCTTATGAATGGTGGTGGAACATTGTCAGATATAGTGCCAGAACGTCAGCACCTTAGCTTGGAAGGCATTGAAAATATGACTGGGGAAGAGATACCTCCTTAAAGTAGAGTTGACCTTGATAACACAAGTGGAGAAAAGCTTTCAGGACCTTAATTTGCTCATGGGGCACTACTCAAGATGAGAAACAGCTGCAAACATCCTTTGGTAATTGGAACATGAAATGTATGAAGTATGAATTTAGGATAATTGAAAGTTGTCAAAAATGAAATGGAACACATAGACATAGATATCTTATGCATTAGTTAGCTGAAATGTACTGATGGTGGCCATTTTGAAGCTGAAAATCTCATGGTTTATTATGCTGGGCATGACAAATTTAAAAGGAATGGTGTCTCATTTGTCATCAAAAAGACAATTTCAAGATCTGTCTTGAAATACAATGCCGTCCATGATAGGATAATATCCCTACACCTACAAAGAAGAAAGGTTAGTACCACTAGTATTCAAACTTGTGCACCAACAACTAAAGCCAGTGAAGATGAAATTAAAGAATTCTACCTGATTTTTCAGTATCAAATTGATCAAACATGTAATCAAGATGTATTGACAATTAATGCAAATTGGAATTCAAAAGTTGGAAGCAAAGAGGAAGGATCAGTAGTTGGAAAATATGGCCTTGGTGGTAGAAATGATGCTGCAGGTCACAAGACAGAACTTTGTAAGACCAACGACTTATTCAGTGCAAATACCGTCTTCAAACAACATAAACAACTCTACACATAGACCTCATCAGATGAGATACACAGGAATCAAATTGACTATTTCTGTGTGGAGAGATGGTGGAGAACCTCAATATCATCAGCCAAAACCAAGCCAGGAGAAGACAATTGCTCATGTGCGAGTTTATGCTGAATCTGAAGAAATTTAAAACAAGCCTACGAGAGCTAAAATATGATCTTGAACCTATCTCACTTAAGTTTAGAGACCATCTCAAGAACAGATTTGATGCATTACACACTACTGACCAGAAGAGTTGTGGGATGACATCAAGAACATCAGTTAGAAGAAAAGCTGTTGTTAAGTGCCATCTTCACAATTTTTGCTGTGCTTGGTCCAATGTTGCAACCACTGTGTATTTTGAGTGCTTTGCAATCTAGTATTCTATAAGACACATTCTGTTGTGAATCATAAGGTTTTCTTTGGCTAATTTTTAGCAGTAGATTACCAGTCCGTTCTTCCTAATTTGTCTTATTCTGGTTGTTCTGCTGAAACATTTCCACCATGGATGAACCTGTTGGTATTTGAAATAACAATGGCATAGCAACACACAAGTCACCGCTGTACAACAAACTAATATATGGGTGGTGGGCCTTGATGTTTTGTTGTTGTTGTTGTTAAGTGCTGTGGAGTCAGTTCTGCCCTATGGTGACCTTATATAGGGTTTCCAAGGAGTGGCTGGTGAACTCAAACTGCCAACCTTGTGGTTCAAACTGACTTTGCAGTGCAGTGCATTAACCCACAGCGCCACACCAGGACTCCGGCTTTTGATATATCCTTTACCAAAGGATGATGTTATAGGCTGGAATATCCAGAAAACAAATTCTGAGATGGAGTTATGCATGCAGGAGCTTTATGGGGAGTACTAAAAGCAGTGAGAAAAACGGATTAGGCAGAGGCTGAAGATTAGTTGCAGTGCAGTTACAAAAGCGTTCTCAAATAATCCTTTGTGGCTATGGTGCTGAGATGATGCTACAGAGGATCCCACCTTGACCATGCGAGCTGTCCCTAGGGAGGTTATATAACAAGTGAGTCAGCTTCATTGGTAGAGGGCAGAACACAGCTGTGATCTGTCTGCAAGCAACGATTCTAGCAACTGGAAGATAAATGCCTCACATGGAAGGCGGGATCAGGGTGGCGCACTATGGTATCCATTAAGACTGAGCTCCTGAAAATGTTCAGGGACCCAAGGCATTTACTTTGAAATTTTTTACTTTGAAAATACTGTTTCATTGTGTTTTTAGTGAAAATTTAACAGCAAGTTAGGCTCTCCTTTGACAATTTCCACACAAATTGATCTATGACACCAGGTTGCCTTTTTCACATTGTGTCAACATTCTCATTGTGTTCTGATTGTTCCATTTCCAGGACTCTAGTTACCCTGATCCCCTATCTTATCTTTGTTTTGGATTAATAATTGACCTTTTGAACTCATGCAGATTTTTTTAGTAAAACACTGAATTAATGGGTAATGGCCTTTATTTTTGTGTCACTCTGTTTTTCTGCCAAAAGGTGAAGTCAGAAGATAGTTTGGTTCTTGGTTTAAATAGCACCTCAGGGCAATAGTCTCAGTGGTCCAGTTAGTTTGGACGCTTTTAAGAATTTGAGTTTGCTTTGCATTTTTCTCCCATTTAAACCAGATCATCTACTGTGGCCCCAGTTAGATGGGTCAGTGGTGGTATCTGGTCACTGTCTAGTTTTCTGGTCACAGGATACTGGAAGTCAGTCTTGTAGACTTAATTCTCCTCTGAGATTTTGATTACCTTCTTTAGCTCCTGACAAGTAGAGACTAATAGTTGTATCTTAGATGGCCATACCCAAGCTTTTAAACATTGTCCCCATGTTGAGAATGACACTGTCCAGGAATACCCAGCCAGATCTTCTCAGAGCATTATTTTCCCCTCAGCCACTTTGTATACACACACTTGACACAAAGGCACTCAATACTAGCTTTTGTTCGTCACCACTGTTTCCAGCAGATCCCCAAAGTCCCAGTAGGTAATTGACTCCTCATCAGAGTAGGGTAAGAAACAGAGTTGAAAGTCGGCAACATCAACAGGAAATAAAACATTTTTATTGAATATCCATGTAATATGTTAAGTCATTTTTAACAACAATCAGAAAACTACTGTGTAATTCACTACACAAAGTGAAACAAAATTTAAACCACCTCATCAAAAATGAAGGTAAAATACAGCTAAAGTAGTTGGCTCGCGGGCCACGAGCCATATGGCAGAAGAAAACACCCCAACATTTCTACAAGATACAGAGAAAAAATCCACACATAGAAACACTCAAGCAGGCAGTAAATATACAAAGGCAACTAGGATCTTTCTAAAGCATCAATTCTAATACTTCACACAGCTTTGTCAGAAAGGTACATGTGGTTCATCTGAGGATGAATTTCAGTCATGCAGCAGGTTCAGTCACTGACTCATGAAAGATGACATAGTACCAACTAATTCTATGGTGACAATCCATGTCTGGCAGTGTTGCAAGAGAGTGCATTAAGGGTACTTTAATGCAAGAAATAATGTATACTAGGCAGCTTGAACCTGCTTGATTAAAAGTATTGTATCGGTGTAAACTTAAAAGCTGAGTATAGTGAAATTAAGTTGCGGTTTCTGATGTTTGAGGAATTAAAAAAGTCAATAAAGTCCTTCCCTTTGGTAGGGTTTAGTCCTTCAAACTGGAAAGAGTAGTGTTTGAATTTTTCTATTAAAATGGATATGTAATCTTCCATTATGATTTGTGCATTTCCTATTATCTAAGCTGGGGGAAAAGTATGGACCATAGACAGAAGAGGGAGATGTGATTCACCTTTTGTTCTTCATATGTGTCCCAGTTCTGAAAAGTTTGTCATAACTGGGCTGCTAGACCAAAGGGCTTACCTCTTCTTTGATGGGGAAGAATAACGACAGGAATTCTTGTTTTATCAGGAAACAGCCAACCCCATGTCCGAAGCCTACTGTCAGCCCTTTTAAAATTCTCTTTGAATTAAAAAAAAATATGTGGTGTGATATCCTAAAGTCTGAACATGAGACCAATGCTCAGTTTTCCTTCATTTTGTTTTGATATTTGTGAAGATAAACTGTCCCGTCAGAGCATCACTATTCTCTGTGGCCTCTGAGTTAAAGTAGGTCACAGAGCAAGTGGGGAAAAAAGACTGGATGCCCTTCCATAAAGTGGTTGTCTACAATAATGGGGGAAATATGGAATATTGCACAGTGATTGACCAAATGCTGTGTGTCCCACCCCAGTCTATGTATCGTTCTTATCCTATGCATAGCTTTTCAGTTCTGAATTGGTCCTTTGTAATGAGAACTGTTTGTGCTACACACACCTTGGGCAGTGCATTAGAGGGAATGGCAGTATTGTTACAAGACCACTACAGAATAAATTGAGTGCTATCCACTGAGGAAACTAGGTTTCTAAGCACACACGGCGTCACAGTGTTACACAGAGCAGTCCTTTAAGACTCTTATGGAATGACTAGTAGCTTCAGAATAGTGCCATTTACTACAGAGTAACATTGAAAACATTTAAAAACTCCTCCTAAATCAAGCATCTAGTATACATAAGAGGTTGCTGCAGTTTTCTAGAACTTGTTCTTGATTTTGTTTCACCTTTTGTTTTTAAAGGACAAATTAAAACTTATATAAGTAAAAAGAGCATATAAAAAGATCACTAGCTGTCTGTTTTGGCTTAATTGAAGTGAGTGCATTCAGAACTATGGCTAATTGTTTTTTCATCTTTTGATGGGATTACAATACTGTTTACCACAAAGTAATTTTGTGTAATAAGCACAGATTGCTTTGTTAAAAATATTCTGCATTCCTTCTGATCTGGTTTTGTATAATAAAATATTTTGTTATAAAGCCTAATGTGCAAACCTTTTAGAACTATTATCAGTGTGAAATCTGAGTCAGAATTCATAGGATGCACATTTAGTATAAAGGTGATAAAGGAGAGCTACTTTTTTCCTTTGTAATAGGAAATATTTCAGAAATGCTGACTTCTCCCCTCAACTTCTTCCCACCCACCCCCATCCTCAAACAAATGCACTTATGCATACACACACACACACACACACACACACACACACATGCACACGGAACACCATCATGTTGTTATTCTATGGGCAATAATGTGAAATCATTGATTCCTGTTCAGTTACTTCCTCGACTCTAAGAGTGAAGCCATGATTTTAGCTTTGTAGATATATACAGACATATGCTGTTCTGGTTTGTGGCTTTGCTTCCTTGAGGTCAGCCTGGATACTGTTCAGATCATGCTGATTTGCCTTTGAAGGAATTCTACAAAATTGGATTTACCCACCATGTGGTGTAAGCATGTTTTGGTACTCAAAATGATCCAATTGAAAGCTCAGGTTTAAGTTGTCCTTTAAGATGTCAGTTGAGCTGTGCTAGTGCCTTACAAGTTGATATTTTTGCTGGAATGCAGACAATGCTATATTTACCATGTAATATATTATCAGCTCTCCTATATCTCGGTCAATTTACATAATTTAAAATAGAACATCTTATTAAAAACATCTAGATATACACAGATTAGGAAACACAACATACAAATGCACAAACTAGAAATCATCTTTAGCATACTGGTATATACAACGGTGTGATACAATAAATAATTTCAGTCATGCTCTATCTACACATCATATTGCTTAAAAGAAGAGTAGATTTGAGGGCAGTGATATGACAAAAGGCTTAAGGATTCTCTACGTTTAAATTTGTGCAAATGAAAACAGGATCTGAAGTGCCACTGAATTGTGTTAGGAACGCATGGCTGGAAAACTGAAAGGACCCATATTACTGAGGTATTTACAGATACCGGCTAAAGAGCACTATGTGGGCAAATGCAGAAAGGCTTCTTCTTTCCTTTACTTCTTGACTGCCAGCATGGCATCCACTTCCTCCTCCACCTGAAGGGTGTGCCACTGGGCAATGGGTCGCCTGGGGTTGGCCAGCATATCTGACCAATGTCGAAGCTCCGCACCAGTGCTGTTGTAGCCCACAAAGACTTTGCCGATGGCATCATTCTTGCCAATCTTGTCATAGTCCAAAACAGTTACCACCACTTGCACTTTCTGAAAAGGGACACAGAAGAAACATTAATCTGCCAACTTCCTTTAGATATAGGGAACTGGAAATAAAAAGCATCAATCTCCAGTTACTGGGATGAGGTTCAAAATGACTTGAATATGAAAATCTGATCCAGTTCCTAGATAGCCATTACTACATCAGCATAGTCTTTATAAAAGTAATCAATATTTAGTTTTATTCTATACTTGGCACGATTCTAAGTCTTATACATGAACTAACAGTCATTCCTCACAATAGATCCTAGCCAATATTGCCATTTTACAGATGAATCTGATAATACTCAAGAAGCTCTGGTATCATAGTGGTTATAAGTCAGGCTGCCTAACCTCAAGGTCAGCAGTTTGAAACTGCCAGCCATTTCACAGAAGAAAGGTGACGGTTTTCTGCTCCCGTAAAGATTTTCAGCCTCAGTAACTCTATGCAGGGTCACTCAGAGTTGGAACCGACTCCATGGCACAACACCACCACCACCACCACCACCACCACCACCACCATCATGCTGATACTCAGAGAAATTAAGTCATCTGCCCAAAGTCCCATAGAGAATGAGTGACAGGTAGTTTGGTCTTCAGAGTCCTTGATGTAAACTACCATGTCATATAACTGGAATGTTAACTTGAATTAACCTCCAAATCCATTTCTGTTTCAGGTGTGAAATGATGGGTTGTTGTTGTTGTTGTTGTTCTTATGTGCCATGGAGTCAGCTCTGACTCATAGTGACCCTGTACAGGGTTTCTGAGGCTGTAAATTTTTACTGGAGCAGAAAGCCTCATCTTTCTCCCATGGAACAGCTGGTAGTTTCGAACTGCTGACCTTAAGGTTCGCAGCCTGATTCGTAACCACTATGCTACCAGAGCTCCTAGAAATTAGGGATACTGGTACTCAAATCATTCTTTTTTTTTGGTTATAATTCCCAAAGCCATCAGATACAGCAATTCCATCAAGTCAGCATTTTACCACAAGATTGGCAGTTCAAATTCACCAGCTGCTCCTTGGAAACCCTATACAGGGTTGCTAAGAGTAGAAATGGACTGGAAGGCACTTAACAATGCCAACAACAACAATATACAATTTCAGTTAAAACTATGATTATTGTAAGTATAAAATATTACAATATAGTGACTGTCTTTTAAAAAGCAGTAACCAAAGAAAGTTATATATTTTTTTTATTTATACATTCACTCAGTAATCATTTATACTAGTGACTGCCTATCTGTTATTGATATGGGAATGACCTTTTAGGCTACACAATATTAGATTTTAGGCTGAGAGGGCTTATTAATTAATTTACTTTTTGTAACTTTTTAAACTGTGTGCCATAAATTTAATTGTGTTTTCCCCAAATATGTATTTTAAATCCTAACCTATATATGTGGTAGGATAAGCACTCAACTTCAAGGTTGGTTTCAATCACAAGGTTGGCAGTTCAAACTCAACCAGCTGCTCCTCAGAAACCCAATACAGGACGCTATGAATTGGAACCAACTCGACAGCACTTATCAACAAGAAAACAACATACCTGTAGTTATAATTACATTTAGGAATGGTTGTCTTTGTTATATTAATGAGGCAGGAAAGTCTAGGATGGGTTTTGAGTTATAATTTTTATGTCTCTTGAGATATAAAAGAAGCAGGCAAGTAGACAAGGTTGGAAACAGATGCCACGTCTTTTGAAGTTTGTTGTTACATGCCGTCAAGTTGGTTCCAACCCATATGAAGAATACCCAGTAGCAAATGCTCAAAAAAGACAAGGGTCTTCAAGAGTCTATATATATATAGAAAGCCTTCCTTTAAAGCCAATACCTTGAATTCTGACTTCTAGCCAATTAAACTGTGAGAAAGGAGCCTTGGTGGCACTGTAAGATAAGCACTAGATTGTTAACTTCTTGTTAAATGACACTGAGGTGGTTCCGACTCATAGCGACCCTGTATAGGGTGTCTAAGGAGGAGCTGGTGAGTTGAACTGCCAACCTTGTGGTTCAAACTGGTGTTGCAGTTCAGCGCATTAGCCTACAGTGCCACACCAGGACTCCACCAGGATCCATTTGGCAGCCCAGTGCATTAACCCACACTGACACATCAGGGTTGTTAACTACAAGGTCAGAAATACAAACCCACCAGCAACTCCATGGGAAAAAGCTGACACTATCTACTCCTGTGAAGATTTAGTTTTGGAAACCCAATATAGGGTCACTATGAGTCAGAATCGACTCGATGACAGTGGGTTTGGTTTGGGTTCTCAAACTGAAATGGTTAAAATGGTTGGCTGTTAATGGAAAAGTCGGTGCTTTGAATCTATGTTACTCTGCAGGAGAATGATGTGGCAGTCTGTTTCCACAAAGATCGTTGTTAAGTGCTGCCAACTCAGTTCCAGCTCTTAACAACCATAGATAAGATTTCTAGGGAGGGGTTGGTGAGTTTGAACTGCTGACCTTTCAGTTAGCAGTACAGTGCTTATCCTAGCATGCTACTCAATGACTCCATAAAGAATACAAACTGGAAAACTCTATGGGGCATTCTACTCTTTCCTATAGACTTGTTAGGACTCAAATAGACTCCATGGCAATGGGAAACTGTGAGACCACAGATTCTTTTTTGTTAAAACCACTCATTTGTTGTATATTTGTCATGTTGTTGTCGTTAAGTGACATCAAGTTGGTTCTGATTCATTTGTTGTTGTTGTTAGGTGCCATTGAGTCGGTACCTACTCACGTGACCCTACGCACA